CTTTTTTATGCTCAAACAGCAACATTACAGACTAACTAAAGTTGAAAAAGTAAAAAAAAAAAAGCATAATAGGACCCCTTTAAAGCACACTCAATGATTTCATTGAGAAACCAGAGGAAGCTTGCGTCAGACGAGCAAAACTCCTTTGTTACAGGAAAGAGGACAACAACCGCACCTACACACACTCTCACACACACACACACACCTACACTCACTCTCACACACACACACACACACACACTCACTGCAGAAAATACTGCTCATATTTCTAACACTAACTCATGACACAGATTCATCCACATTACACTGATGAGAATTTAAGGAAAAATGTGTTTAAATGCCATGAAAATAATATCATAGCACGAAAAAGTTTTAAAGTAGGGTTGATTTTTTTATGTCAAATAATTTCAGATTTTTCTCTTTGGATTTGGTGGCAATATGCAAGTCGGGCATGATTTTGTGATGTACATTTGACAGCAGAATCAATGTGAGTACATGTGTGTGTGAGAGTGTGTGTCAGTGTCCTCATTAAAGCATTGTGGAGTGTTTAGTTCTTAGTTCAGTTGAATGTGACTCTGTTCACGGCTGTTAAGCTGCTTATTTCTGCACTAAATCCTGTTTGAGACATTTTCTGCTGTTAACACTATAACCGATAACCGATATCTCTAAACGATATTCACACTTTCATACATTGCTTATTAGTCATATAATAACAGATCTACGCTGATTGACTATTTGCATTTAAATATAAAACCCAACCACAATATTTAAGTAACTTAATGAATCGCTAAATTAACTTCTATGAAAAACGTTATAAATATCAGCCATTTCTTCCAGTGTTGTTATTATTAACTAAAACTTTTTTTAAAAAATTAGAAATGTTCCCTTCACAACTAACTGGAAAAAAAAAACATTTGTGAAGCTGAAGTACTAAATTCACCAAAACTAGATCCGAGATAAAAAAAATATGTTTGTAAGCTAAATGGAAATATTTATTTAAAAGAAATTATAGAAGAGAAAATGTAGAGACTTTATATAAATATTTAATTAAAAGAAGTATAACAAAAATACAAAAAAAAGCCATTTCAAAATATTACAATAAATACTACAATAGTATATAAATTGTACTTAAATAATAATGTTTTTTTTACAACTTAGAAATGTGTAGCTATGTAAAATATACATATTTAAGGAGGTAATTTTATATATCGGTAATATTTAACTAAATTTAATTGAATATATAACAACAACAACAACAACAACAAAAAACAGAAATGCATAAATAATAATTATACATATTATGCTTTTATAATTGTAGTCACTTATTATGGTCACTTTATTTTATTATTTGAATACAATTTTAGCATTAATTATAGTTTTAAAATCGTATTTATTGATAATATTTATGTTATACCACTTATTCATATTTTAAATTAGCTTGCATTTTTTTATTTTCAGGTTTAATGTTATGCTTTAGTACTTTTGTCATACATATTTCATGTATATTTGTATGGATATCGGGCACACAAACTCACCGGTGTCCAGAGCTCCGGCGGCTCCAGGTGTGCTGCTGCAGGCGTTGCTGTGGTTCTGTCGGATCTCTCGGAAGAAGGTGACGGTCTCCTTCAGGTTCTTCTTCAGGAACACGTTGTGTTTGTTGTAGTGGCTGAAGGCTCGGGTCAGCTCTCTGACCAGAGGGCTGTTTTTCTGCGGGTTCTCCATCCTGATCCCGGAGCGAGTCCGCGTCACATATCCATCCGAACTCCCGCCGTTTCTGCAGAGGCCCGAACACTGCAGGATGGACCGAGCCGACACAACAACAACAACAACCAGCGGTGTGTGTGTGTGTCAGTGCATCAACGCACACACACACACACTCTCTCTCTCTCTCTCACACACACGCGACAGCCGCCTCCCGTTAACCGGGCCGATATCGGCGCTCGGGAGGCTCGACGAATTCGGTTCGGATCGGTAACACACACTCGGGCGGACTGGAGGCCGAACCGGGTCGCGGGTCGCGCTTGGCGGCTGTTCGGCGGCTTTTTCCGCGCGAATGAGCGCCGATCATCGATAATCCCGGTGTTTGCGTCGGTTCGCCTCGGGAATGTTTCACATTTCAGCCCAAATACGGGAGGTTTGCGCTACCAGCCGCTGCCGCTGCTCCTCCGTTTGGCGACGCTCGGTGGGCGGGGCGCGACTGGTGCATGCTGGGAAATGCAGTCCTCTCGGCCTAGCGAACATAAACAAAGTGCGCACAAAAAAGACGTAGGGAAATACACTATTAGGAAATATTTAAATGCGTAACAAAATTATTTTGATGTCAGCACACACCCCTTTCTAACTTGTTTATTTGGTCGCTGTGCGTATAGCATCCAGCTAATCTTTATCTTAATTTGATCTTTATCTTAAAAAAAAGAAAAAAGTTGTGGAAGTGTCACAACCTACTCTTTTTCAGAGAAGCAAAGGATTGTGGGTCATGTAGTATAAATGCTGTGATGCACAGTCAGTGTAGTACACTACATGTATACTACAGTAAGTTTGTAGTAGCCTGGCGACCTCTAGTGGTTAAATCTGCTGTGAATACAACACTACTTCACATCCCTCACCAATTAAATCAGTGCTATTGTGATTTTTTTCCACATTTATGTTCTGTTTGCATTAATACACCCTAATATAAACATACATTTGACACAATGTTGTAAATCATCGGCTGCAAAGTTCATAAAAACATGACTAATTAACTGGAATAAGAGCGTTATTTTATTGATAATGTATTTTACCTGATGTTAGTCAGGATTGGACGCTAATGAAACGTTCCCAGGAATTCAATATGGCGGCTATGGCGATTATTTACAACCGCACGCGCTGTATAAATAACTTTTTTTTTTTTGCAAACAATATTAAACACACCATACTTCAATCTCTCGCGGCCTCGTTTTCATTCCCGACAAAATGGCGCCACTCTAATCTACTAATAAAACGAATTACATTTAAGCATAAAGCAACGGGACCTTTCCGATGTAAAAGTTCACATTACTAAACACATGAATTCCCCTAAAATACCACTTCCTGGTTAAACTTTCAGTTTTATTAGTGAAGCTGAGTGATGTAATGGAAAGTGTGGACGTTACATGAAGCGCACAAACACCTGCTCACACGATCATAAATAATAAATGCATCTGAGGCAAAGCAGATCGATTGAGTGTCAAGTTTTAAACACGCCCACCTGCGATAGCCCACAACAGACCGCAAGCGCGAGGGGCGGGGCTTACGCTCAGCGACGCCCCGCCCACACGCGAGTCTAGCCACTCCGGGCGAACAGCGACACGCCCACCGCGCGACGCCCCGCCCACACTGCACTCAAGTAGTCGCTCCGGACGCGCCGCTCGCCGCACTGTGTCACCTGTACGCGGACGTGAACGCACGTCTTCCTCATCTTCCTCTGCGCGTGTAGCCGGTCATGGAGTGTCCGGACGCCGTCAAGCGTCAGGCGGTGAAGCGGCACCATCACAAACACAACCTCAAGCACCGCTACGAGTTCCTGCAGACGCTCGGGAAAGGCACGTACGGACGCGTGAAGAAAGCCACGGACCGGTCCGGGAGAACGGTGAGAACGCTTCACATCATCGCACCGGGCACAGATTTACCCCTTTTTATTTTTTTATTTTAACACTAATAATATTAGTAATTAAATAATATAAAATAAAATAAATATTTTAAAATAATAATTAAATAATTTTAAATAATAACAATTATTTCATGCTCTCTCAATATATTTTATCTAATTGGATTATAAATTAATATTTCTTTATTTTACAAATGTGTTCTATACATTTCAGTAATGAGACTGTGTGTGTAGAAACTTAAGTGTGTTTAATTTTCATAAAAATAATCGTTAAAATGCAAAAAAACAAAAAAATCATAATGGTATTAATTTAAATATTTAACTTAATATTTACAAAGTTGGTTAATTATATATGATATTACATTACAGATATAATTAAATAAAATCATGTATGTTTATTATATTGATATACTATAATACTATATTTAACATCATTTAAGATTGATAGCATTCATTTATTACATATCAAACAATTATTAAATATCAATTTAAATATTAAATCTAAAAGCATGCTGAAAAAATGAAAAGTCCTGTATTATTCTACTGATTTGTGCTGAAATGTGACCTTTGACCCGTGGTGATGAATAAGGCTGGATGTGAGGAGGTTTTTGAACCATCACAGCGCGTACTCTAGCCTTGTTTAAATGAGAAACAACACTGTATAAAATAATGTTTTCTGTCAATATATCTGCTGTAAAGTACTGTTTCTTACCTCTGAAGCACAAAACACACTACGTTTTGATAGATGTATGCCTAAAAAATGATTTTTTGAGCCCAAGACATAAAAACAAGTGCTAATTATTAATAAAACTATGCTGGTCTAAGAATTTGTACATATTTCTATTGGAAAACAAAAAATACTGAATTACATTTATATGACTAGCAACGTTGTGTAAAATAATATTTCTGAATATATCTGCAATTAAGCTTGTTTTTTTTTACTTGGAAGCATAAAACTAAGATTTATGTCTAAAACAAGAGAAGTATTTTTTAGTGAAAAAA